CAAACACACAGTCTACATATACGAACACAAACATACACTGGTATCATACATCATACCTTTACAATGCACACCCAATCATTTTCGTTCTAATTATACAAAAATAAGAAAAGAATGTGAAAATTATAAAAAAATGAATGAGGGAATTTACGAAAGAACGAACGAACAAACTAATGAATGAACGAATGAAAAAATAATCTGAAAAAATGAATGAATGAATTAAAGAATGAATTAAAGAATGAATGAATGAAAAAATAAATTAAAAAAATGAATGAATTAATTAAAGAATGAATGAATGAAAACCTGCCGGAATACTAATGATGTGTTGTGGGACTATTGAAATTGATCAAATGGAAAAAAGGAGAGACGCAACGAAAGAATGAATAAAAAGTGAATGATTGAATGAATAGAAGGATGAATAGATTGATAGACAGATAGATGCATTGGTGAATTGAAAACTGAATGAATCATTGAATAAATGAATGGATGAATGGATGGATAGATGGATAGTAAGATGAATGTGGAAAAGAGAGTTAGATAGAGCTAAATGAACAAATACGAAATGAAAAAACAAATGATGGATAGATGGAAAAATTTCTAAAACTAACAGATGGATGAATGAAATGATTGAGTGAATGAATGAACAAAAGAACTAACAGAAAAGAAAACATTCTTGATGACAAAAAAATGAACGAAAAAACGAATGAAAAAATGAATAAAATGAATTGAAATTGAATAAACATAAAAACTTTTGAATAATTCATCAAATAAAAGGTATTAAAATGGAATGTAGGAAAAATCGATTGACTGACTGAATGAATGAAAAACTGGAAAAATGAATGAAGGGGCGAGCTGCTGAACAAACCAGCAAACCGTTATAAAATGAAAGAATTATGATGTGAGTGATTGATTGAAAAATCGAAACACCAAATTAATTCATTGATCAAAGATAGATAGATTGGATAAGCTATAACTTGAAAGAAACAAATGGAAGAAATCAAATGACAAAATGAATGAATGAATGAATGAGCGAACGAGTAAATAAATGAGAAGATTATTGATATTCACACACACAAACACACACACGCACGCACACACACACATAAAAAGCCACACACACACACACACACACACACACAGACAAACACACACACACATACTGACACATGTGACGCAATTTTTTTGGATGACTAATCGATCCCATGAACATCGTAATCAAATATTTTTTCTCAAATGATAAAATAAAAAAGTTATAATTACAAATTAATAATAATAATAATAATACTAATAATAATTATGATAATAATAATAATAATAACAATAGTAATAATATAGAAATTACTTTTAATCTTAAAAAATAATTCACAAAATATAAAGTTCCATCAAAAATAACTTGAAAAAAAAATTAAATGAAACGTTTTACTGATTACTTTTCGCAATGCAATTATTAATAATATCAACAAAAACCAAAGATAAAAATACAAATAGACAAATAATAGTCAAAAAAGTCAAAAAAAGAACGCGAAAAGGTCATGGCCATTTTAAAAATCCTTCAATTTAAGCAAGAAAAATGAGTCCTTATTTGGCTCTATCGCTCGTCAGTATGGAATATATCGCACATTTCTTCAATTAAAATGAGTTTTTTATGTTGGAAAGAGAGAAAAAGAAAAGGAAAAAAGAGAAAAAAAAGAGAGAATAATAAAGAAATTAAGAGAGAGAGAAAGAGGGAGAGAGAAAATGAGCAAAATGAGTTTTTTTGCTGTCTGGTAGTACTCCACAAAGATAATTGCGAATAGAGAGAGAGAAATAGAAAGAGAGAACAAATGCGTTTGTAAGAAAGAAAAGAGAAAAAGAGAGATGAAAAGAAAGGGAAGAAGAACGAATGTTTGTATGTATGTTTGTATGTATGAGTATGTTTATTTGTTTGTTTATATTCATGTATGTATGTATGAATGTATGTTTGTATGTATGTGTATATGTATGTACGTATGAATGTATGTTTGTATGTTTGTATGTATGTGTATTAATGTATTTATGTGTGTTTGCTAGCTTCTTTTTCTGTACTCTACACCTTAAGAATTAAAAAATTAATGATAGGAGACCACAGCTCTCCTTCGGAAATAAAAAATTTTTATCACAATATTTTTGTGACTTAACTAAAAAAAATTATTCTCGAATGTAAATTTCGATTATTCGTTCATGCCCTTGCGTGCCTAATACGTGTCACAAAACATATTTCCTCGTTTCCTATTTAAAAATCTAGACAAAAGTTCAGTTTCTTTTTTTTCAACATTTGTAAAATTTTGCTCTAACAAAGACTCTGGCAGACGTTAACATTGATAAAATTATTGGCTTACTACATAATATTTAGATTCATTATTTAAAAGTTTAACTTCTAAATTATTTTTAAATGAAATCATTCTGTTTAGCTGTTTAGCTAGAGAAGATATATCTAAAATACGTAGCCTTATTTAGACTGCATTCAAATTTTGGAAAGGTATTATGAATAAATAATACACTAAGAATTTTTATTCAAATATTAAAATTTAAAATTTTTGAAAAATTTATGAAGTTATTCACAGTTTTATATCAAATGAAAAAGAGATTGAAAAGTTTTGAATGTTAAAAGAAGTGAACTTGAATAACCACCGTGTGGAAAAAAATGCAAGGCTGACATGGTGATGCGTGCAACAACTGTCAATTAACGAAATGAAAATTATAGAGTAGCAAAGTTACACACAGACACACACAGACACACACACCACTTTCTCTCTCTTTCTCTCACACACACACACATACAAACACACACACACATAGGCAAACAAACAAACAAAAAGTGAAATACATAAAACATCCATACATCGTATCAATAGTACAATAGTTCAGCTTCCTTTCGAAATCTAATTAGATATATAACATCTATATTCACACACATGCACAAACCACATACCACACACACACACACAAACACACACACACATACATGCCGACAGAGCACACACCCAACCAGCATGACCTAAACACTCCTCATTCCACATTTCAAACCACATGACATTTAAATGAAGATAAGCCTATGCGAAAGCATGCAGACACACGAACCCACTAGCAGCCGGTTTAAATAAAACAATTTAAAATAAAACCCCATTATGAATGAAAAAATTATTTTAAAGATATACATTTCCGTTGTTTAGATTTGGTATCTATATAGGTAATTCTATATTTTATTTGTTTATATTGTGTTTTTATTATGTTTCAATTGAAAGTTCGAAAAAATTTTTAATTTTTTTTCAGATATAGACTGCTTGTTAAATTAATCAAACGACGTTTCCTATGTTATTTTAATGTGATAACAAACACAAATAACAACACATAAATACACACATACATATATATATACACACATATACAAACATACATACAAACATACATACAAACATACAAAGATTTCGTTGGAAAAAACGAATGAGACTTCATTGTTAGAACCTTCCAATCGATGAATAAACTCAGAAACATTTATATGTTTTGCACTTTTATTTATATTTTTCTATATTTGTATATTTTTTTATGTGTTTATTTGCTTTTCTAAATAACCTGGTTTAATTTATGGTAAAGTACCACACACATACATACCACACACACATAAACACACACACGCACACACATACAAACACACACAAACACACATACAAACACATGGCATGCAATAACGAGTCTACTTACATGTCTTTATGGGATTTGGCTCACAGTATCTCAACTCGAGGTTGTAATCCATGGCGTACAAATAGGGGGGGGGGCACTGGGGTATTTTATGGGTACATTGAATGGGTATAACACAGGGCTTGACCCTGCATCGTCATCATCATCATCATCGTCATCGTCATCATCGCCATCATGCTCATCATCATCTCTTTTCTTTTTTACTTCCTTTTGTATCTAGCTAGCTCTGAAGACATTGACAAACAAAACCTAAACCTAGTTGAGCAAAAATAATTGTCGCACGCACACACGCACACACAAATACCCACGTACACACACACACACGCACACACACACACACAAGCGATTATGAGTAAATGAGATACAGATGCTGTTAAGAATACTGTTACACGGATACTGTTACATAGATACTGATACATGGATACTGATACATGGATAATAAAATGATAACAGAAATGGTAGAAAATATAAGAAAATGTACGTATTTCATGTGCTTGGAATGATGACAAAGGTTGTTGAAAATTTTCTATTGATGTTTGGCAGGTTTTTAGCTTTGTATTCTTGTTTTTTTTCACCTATATGTTTGGTTATTCTTTTTATTTCTTTTTCTTGATATTATTATTTTATATCTTTATTCTTTTTATTGATATTATTTTTCAGATTATTATTTTTTATATTTTTCAGAAATGTCATTCTTCTTAATTTGTTTGTGCGTTAACGTGTAGGCTTTCAAGTTGTATCATCTGATTACGACAACATTCATTCATTCGTTCGTTCGTTCGTTCGTTCGTTCGTTCATTCATTCGTTCGCTCGTTCGTTCGTTCGTTCGTTCTTTCGTTTGTTCTTTTGTCCATATATTTTTCCATTTATCCTTTTCTTGTTCTCCAACAACAACAACAACAACAACAACAACAACAACAATAACAACAAAAACAGCCAAAACAGCAGCAACAACAACAGCCAAAACAGCCACAACAACAACAGCAAAAACAACAACAACAACAGCAACAACAACAATAATAATCCGAACTCTCTCAATTCGAACATTGTACACTTGGTAAATATTTATACCCACCAACCAGGCCAACACGATTGCATCAACTTGTTCGCCGAAGCAACAAAAATATTCGCCCGTGCCTGCTATAGCTCAAATCTTATCATTAATTTGCTTATTCTTTACGTTTTTAAAGTGCGACTTGAGTTTGTATGTATGTATGTATGTTTGTATGTATGTTTGTATGTATGTATGTATGTTTGTATGTATGTTTGTATGTATGTTTGTATGTATGTATGTATGAATGTAAGTATGTATGTTTGTATGTATGTATGTATGTATGTATGTATGTATGTATGAATGTATGTATGTATAGTATACTCATACAAACATTCTTTTAATTTATTTATTATTTATTTATTATTAACACACACATACATTCTTTTAATTAATTTATTATTTATTTATTATTAACACACACATACATACTAACACACACACACACACATGCAAACACATACAAACATACACATACAAACATACACATACAAACATACAAACACAAACATACGCATACAAACATACGCATACAAACAGGCATACAAACATACGCACTGAAGTTTGCATTCAAATCACACACGAGCATGTTTTATAGTGTATTTCGTTCGTCATAAGGCAGCCGACCAAACTCAAACACAGCTCTATATTATTATTTCCAATAATAACTTCATTACGGTTATTTTGGTGGAGAAATTATTTCCGAATAATAATAATAATATAAATAATAATATAACTATAATAATAATAACAACAACAAAAATAACGGTATACTGTATTGAGATATTGTTGTTGGTCATACTGTCATCATCATCGTCGTCGTCTTCGTCATCATCATCATCTAATTCTAATTTTAAATTTAATTTTTAATAAAATTTTAATTTTTATTTTTTAAGGGTTTAGTGGATTATTCGTAAAACAATTTTAGTTCCTGACCCTTATTATTTCTCTTTTACGAAATTTTTAGCTCAAATTTAATTTTGTTTGAAACTATTTGTAAGGTGGCCATGCTAGATAAGTTACCTGAAAACTTGATCATGGTCATCCTGTCTTCTTCTCTTATTCTTGAAGCAAATAAAATATATCGTATCGTATCGTATCGTATCGTATCGTATCGTCACCATCAACTACTTTATCATCATCGTCATCGTCATCATTCCATAATATTACTTTTTGTCAAATAAAATAAAATGGGAAAATACCTCCTTAATATAGATATGTACATTCAAATGCAAGCCAACTCTCTAATGTGTGCCGTAGAAAAAAATCATAACATGGTAGAAACAACTTTGTTATTGTACGTGTGTGTGCGTGTGTGTGTGTGTGTCTGTATGTGTGTGCGTGTGTGTGTTTATGTATGTACGTACGTGTGTGTGTGTGTAAGTGTTTAGGTCTGTGTATGTGTTTATTATGTATGTATGTATGTATGTTTGTCTATATGTATGTTTGTGTCTGTGTGTGTGTATGTTTGTTTGTATTTATGTAAGTATGTATGTAATTTTGTGTGTGTGTTTATGTATATGTGTATGTTGTAGGCATATATTAAGCAAAAGGGTCATTTGTACCTGGTTTATAACGGGACTAGAGATTCAAGATGATAGCTAGGAGGATTTAATGTAGGTAATGGAGGAAGTTGTATGTTGATGTTTTGCTTTGAAGATCTGCAAGTACTGCTACTGTTGCTACTACAACTACTACTTCTACTACTACAACTTCTACTACTACTACTACTACTACTACTTCTACTACTATTTTTACTACTACTACTACTACTACTTCTACTACTATTTTTACTACTACTACTACTACTACTACTACTACTACTACTTTTACTACTACTACTGCTACTAATACTACTACTTTCAAGATGAACATCTGATTAAACGAAATTAGATACAATGCATACAATGTGAGACGTATTCTAATTAAAGGTTTCAATATGTATAAGTTTCATCTATTGTGTTTTGTATTGTATTGTTTTGTATTGTTTTGTATTGTATTGTTTTGTATTGTTTTGTTTTGTATTGTATTGTTTTGTATTGTATTGTATTGTTTTGTATTGTATTGTATTGTATTGTATTGTTTTGTATTGTATTGTATTGTATTGTTTTGTTTTGTTTTGTTTTGTATTGTATTGTATTGTATTGTATTGTTTTGTATTGTATTGTTTTGTATTGTATTGTTTTGCATTGTATTGTATTGTTTTGTATTGTATTGTTTTGTATTGTATTGTATTGTTTTGTATTGTATTGTATTGTTTTTTATTGC